GACTGGATTGTAGATTTGGGCACCAACTCTACTATACAATAAAGAAAAGAAGCTACTGCATCATATAACACTACTACCACTAGTAGTAGTACTATTGACATGTCTAAGTGTATGTCAAATAGTAATGTTGTCCATAAAATGTGAGAATTGTGTCATACAATGTTATTTTGGTGCAAGATTTTCTTTTGAGTTACATTTTTTAGTAGAACTTTGTATTTGATTTTGGAGTTTTTGGCCATTGGATTCAGCAAATGACTGTGTATGACTGTGGTGTACAACAAGTAGAATCAGTACTGTAGATAAAAATGAGCATGCGTCTGAATAAAAATTATTTTATTTTTCACACATGAAAATACACTCTATTAACACAACAAATAAAGTTTGCATTGACAATGATACTGGGCACCTCTTTTGAACAAGAATGACCATTGACAATGATACTGGGCACCTCTTTTGAACAAGAATGACCAATACAAGAAAGTTCTCCATACTGAAGAGAATTACAGCCTCAAAARTGTGTCACTCTTAGCTATCATGTGCAAGTAGTAGCACCAGCATATCAAAATAACCATTAGAACCCAACTGATGGTATTATCATATTGATATGAAAAAATAGGCACATCAGACACTTTCACTGAATACGATCTAGTATGATATAACTGGTGTATATGATAGTATTTATAATAGATCTGTTAAACAAAAAAGAAGCAGTCAAATAACCCAATATTGAGCTTGATCCAACCCAAGAGTTGCAAACTGTACCATTATTTAGGAATAGAGGTAGTATGATTTAACCAGCAATAATATTCCAYGTCAATTGCTTTGAACCTCTTCTTAACCTGTTTCATTGTTCTTAGTACTATGAGGATCGTCCCCTTAATAGCAGTAGTATTGTCATTTGTTGACTACTAGTAGTACCACCACCATACTCCTGCTGGCTTTCACACACAAGTTTTACAATTATACCACTTTGTTTCTTTCTATCTTTGTCACTTAAACAGGGAACTACAAAGATTTTCTATCCTGTCCCCAGCAGCATTCTTACTAGCTGGTACTACTACTAATGTTGGTGTACAACAAGAACTAGTAGTAGCAGAACTACAATTTATCATGGATTGTCACAAATGACAGCAAGGGCACCAGAAAACAAAGAAAGAAATTCCTCAATAATGTTTTTATGACGAAAGCAAAATTGTGGTATTGGGGAAGACAACTGGTGTTTTAGTTGTTGTGGTGAGTACTAGCACTTTTTCTGGTTGTTGTTCTAGTAGTATTACAACTCTTTTTGAGTTTTCAAAAGTTATGCAGGTGTGAATGGTAGTAGAAATTAGAGAGGAAATTCAAATCTTGTATCTGTGGGCATTGACTGACTTGGATAGAAATCATCACTGGACCTTTTTTCCATCTAGTACAAGTTTAATTTGAGTAAAATTTGTGAACGGTACGTCACATGAACCCTACCACCTCCTACAGGGCAAAAAGGCATTCTACTCAAACACCAAAAAATATTACTAGTAGCATCACAGTTAATTTTGGGCCCAGTATTTTAGTACTGATCCTACGTAGATCCTCTACTAGTTTTTGGTCACTTTCTTTTGACCTCAAACAGTGTAATAGGACACTTAGAACTGCTCCGGTATGGCCTGAGAGCAGCTGTTCTTTGGGGAAAAGCTTTGTCCTAATAGTGTTCTTGGAAACAGGGTCATGTGTCATTGTTACACAATTATAGGCCTTGGGGGAGCCGGTTCTCCATTAACAGCTGGTACTACTATGGCCAAATTTGGCCAGTGGAGACTGGCTGCTGGTTAGAAAATAGGCCAGAACTCTATCAAAAAACAACTATACTAGACCACCAGACTAAGCGCCCAGACCAACAAGTTGATACAATTACTTAGAGATCCAGGTCATTGGGAAGCCAAATGATGCTATTGGCTTAGAAAGAGTCAGAAAAAGTTACAGGTAGTGAGGGGTCGAAAATCGTTAATTTTTGGTGTAATTTTATACAGATTAAACTCGTACTATCACATGCACTGACCTTAAAATCTTCACTTCTTGTTTCGAGTTCAGAAATCTATAGGTCTGTATGGCGTACGGTACGTACGTACCACCAGTCCCCAAAATCGATGACATCCGCACATAAACCTCCTGAACCAAGAGCGTAAAAATTCTGTTGAGGCGACGGCATAACGAAAGAATCGGTTCAGGGGATGCCTTTTATGTCATGTCTCCATAAGATAACATCTCATGAAAAATCACCGATCGTGACATCATTGCCAAATACAATACATCATCCAGAACGCCTGAAAGACCAATTTTTTAAAAATTGGCTCCCAAATCATCGACGACAACATCACCGATCAAGACATAGACCCATCTGCTGTTGTCGAGAAAAAGTATCCGAGATTCGAAATGAAGACACCCAAAGCAAGCCTCCTTGCCGTCTTGGCTGTTGTGCCATCAGTAACCACTGCTTTTCAGCAACCTGTCGCTCATCGCTACAATGCTGTGGTACGTAAAGCGAAGTTTTGCAGCTGGGGGAGCAGTAAGCAATTATTGATTTTTCCAGCTAGCGGACACGGCATGGCATCAGACATGATCTCGATAAGGAACTCGATTTTGATATAAGATTACACACCAAGTGTCGGATCTATATTTTGAACGCAGGACGAAAGAGGCTCATGGGTGCATTCCCGACCATTGCGTTGCTTGAATGTGATGTTAGTTTAACAAGAACGAATGCGTGATTCCAACCACTTCGTTTCCCCTTTTTTCTTTTTCCCTTCATTCATGTCCAGAAGGTAGCACCATTCACGAAGAGTGCCGTGTCGAGCATCTCTTCCCCTATGCGGCCTTCTTCAACTAGCCTTGTCATGGCGGTAAGTTACTTTTTCTGATCCAAGAAAAGATGACGTGTACTCCATCGATATCAGTCGAAATGTAGAAGCTATGAAAATGATGCATCATGAATTTCGGATCAATCTCTGCAATTTTTTGTTCGTTCTTGASAATTCTATCGATAAGTTGTCCGTCGCAGTCCTTTCTTTGCTAATACATTATCACTATTGTTATTTGTTGACAGGTCGAGGCAGCTAGTGAAGATGCCGGTGCTGGCGGAGAAAAGAGTTTGGGGAAAAAGATTTTTGATACCTATGTTCGGGTTGCTGATGTTGCCACCACTCTGTTTCCTCTCTGGACTGTTCTTTTCTCTGTTGCCGCCATTAAGACGCCCCAATCATTCGCTTGGTTCACGACCGAATATTTTACTGCTGCATTAGCCGCTCTGATGCTTTCAATGGGTATCACCTTGACCCCTCAAGACTTTCTTGATGTCATGAAGGAACCAATTTCCGTCGCGATGCAGTTTTCTCTGTGCTATGCAATGATGCCAGCTCTAGCTTTGGGATTGGGAAAAGCTTTCGCATTGGACCCTGCCATGTTAGCGGGTATGGTTTTGGTCGGTAGTATCAACGGAGGGCAAGCTTCAAATCTCTGCACATACATTGCTCGTGGTAATGTTGCTCTCTCTGTCCTCATGACAACCGCCACAACCTTGGGTGCCATTTTCATGACTCCTCTCATTTGCAAGGCTGTTCTGGGTACCGTCGTCCCTGTCGATGCAGTTGGAATCGCAATGTCTACTATCCAGGTTGTTTTGGCACCCATTGCCATTGGTATGACCACCAACAAATTCTTCCCTAATTTCGTGAAGMAAATCTTGCCGATCACCCCTGTCGTTGGAGTTTTGTCAACGTGTCTATTGGTGGCTAGTGCAGTCGCTCAAGTCTCGGAACCTATTATGAATGCTGGATTGCAATTGCAGGTAAGTGGCTAATGTCTCGCTGTTCTGACATTTCTATTTAATAGTATCGCGTCTTAACTTTAATTTTTGCATCTTTCTCTGCAGACGCCTGTCTTTCTCTTGCACTTGTTAGGTGGACTTGTTGGGTACTTCTTGCCGAAACTAACTGGATTCTCTGAGGTCAAATCCCGTACCATGGCCATCGAAACTTCAATGAAGTCTTCTGCCTTCGGGTTTTTGTTGGCGAAACTTCACTTCGGTCAATACGCAGCTCGTGTGCCCAGTGCCGTCAGTGTCGTATGGATGGCCTTGACAGGTAGTTTGCTTGCTGTCGTTTGGAGATACATTCCTGTCGGCGATGAGGAATAAATCTGCAAGCAACGCAATTAGCGGTTTCAACCTGCCCGGGAGCAATTTACCATCAGTTTTTGAATTCTTAAAATAGATTAATCTTGGTTATTGTAGTTGTTGTCGTCGTCATTAATGTAATCATTTTGCACAATGATGTTGTCCTGGGACCTGATTCTGTCCGTGAACTTCTATAGTTCGTTTTTCCCTCTGGCGAATGAGTCTGTTTCTGATAAATACTGAAGAGGGGAGTACGGGGTTCGTAAAACAAGGACTTGGCAGACCAGACCTGGACACACGCAACGCTTCCGTAGCTATTACGTGAAAGAATGACCACACACCTACCCAAATAGAAACGGTCAATGCCCACTCTTCTTAAATTAATAAACAGTGTGCAAAGCACCCTACACCCACCAGCAAGATATCAAAATGAAGGCACCAGCAGTCATTCTCCTACTGGTACTACTAGTAGCCTAGCAGCAGTACTACTAGTACTAGTAGTATTGTTAGTAAGAGTTCTCAAATCTATTAGTAAGTGTACTAGTAAAAAAGGAAGTTCTACCATGTACTACTAGTACTAGTAGTGCTTAACAACAACAACAACAACAACAACAACAACAACAACAACAACAACAACAACAACAACAACAGAACTAGAAGAGGCATTATGTGGGCCAGAGCCATAACTTGTGTGGAGAAGAATGCTCCTAGTAGCTGCTCCAAGAGGCAGTGCCTCCCTTGGAGGAGTGGTTGTGGTGGCGCAACCACGGGGACTAGGGGGCTGGGTAGGTGGTTAGGTTAACAATTGTGTTGTAGTTGACTGGATGGTTCAGTTTGTAACAACACCAGAGGCCAAAGGAATCTCTGGTAAACCAGGTATTTTGTGTCCTTACTTCTTGGAGTAAGTGTCAAAGGCCAGGCCATCTTCTTGTGTGGCACTCTTCCATGGTTGTTTACCATGAGGTGAGGTTAAAAAATACTGGGTTATAGGACATGCATTGGAGGCACAGCAGGTGGCAAGAGTTGTGCAGATGCTTGCATGAATGGTTTTCTTGTATACTTGGAGGTAGTACGCAAGGAATGAATTTGATGCTTCAGAAATGAATGTTTCAGGATCATTTGGGAATAAAAGAGCATGAGAGGGACACTTCTGTGGTTTCAGGGCCAAGAGATTGTGGACTTTCTTTATTAACCATTGTCGTTTCAATACTTGTTTCTGAGTGAGAGTGTGACCTTGAAGGTTTTTATTCTGCTGTTCCCACAACAAGATAAGAAGAAAGAAAGAATTTGACTAGGTAAACCCCAAAACAGTTGGGGAGTGCTGAGAGCTAGTAGAGTGAAGATCAGGGTCAGTGATCCACTGAAGTGAAAGGTGGCAACCAAACAAATGGTGGTGTCATCCAATCTTGCTCTGGAAATGAATAGCTGGGTGGATGGATCTAGAATATTTTTCTGGTGAAACAATTCCAGTTTCCAGCCATTCAGTAAGGGAGCTGGCAAGAGTGTTTGTGACAATTAATCTGAAGCCCAGGGTGCTGCTGGTGTTACTTTAATAGTACTAGCAGTACTACTACTACTACTAGTAGAACTAGTAGTATGCTCTGACTTACTTCTACTACTACTACTACTACTACTACTACTACTACTACTAGTAGTAGTAGTAGTAGTAGTAGTAGTAGTAGTAGTAGTAGTAGTAGTAGTAGTAGTAGTAGGAAGTGATGTTCATACAACTGATGCTGCTAACATGAGAGTGCCTCCTTAAAGCAAGCTACTAGTAGTACTAGTACTGTTTTTCATTTAATGTTATGGAGAAGCAAGGGGCAATCTTGACTTGTCATTTGACTAGTAGTACTGGAACAAGTACTAATTACAACAAGTATATTGTTGTTAACCACCACATGTCATTTTAAGGCAGCATTAGTGCAAGAATATTGTACAATCATGAATATTATATCAAGAAGTCATGCAATGTCATATCATATCATAATATCGTATCATAGTGGCATACATATTTGAACTACATAGTGCACATACAGTACATACATGGCACATATACATCCTCCATAGTAGTTAGGGTTGTCTGGCAATAAATAGATAGGCTCTGACATGAGCTGAGGGTGACCCCTGGTTAAAAAAATAATTATTTACTAGTACTCATAGTAGTAGAAGTCTACTGCAGAACCTGGTTGAAACTGATTTATTTTCAACCAGTAGTGAAATTTTCAACTGTTTACTAGTGGCATCGGTGAAGACCAAACCCTTTAGCTGTAGTCAAGCTTGTCTGCTTGTAAGTGATTTCACAATAGTATGGTTTTTACGGTACTACAGCACTAGTAGTAGTGAAATGTACTGGTGAACGATACTGTAAATAGTACAGACATACTGCATTCTGCCAAGGTACAAAATACTCACCATTCAAATCATATGGTAACAGTTATGCTCTCTTAGTATTAGAGCTACTACTAAAGACAAGCCCTGTTCTGGAAAGTTATTGGCAATTCTGAACCTCCTGGGCTGGCTGGCTTGCCTGTYGTGTGCAAGTACCCCTCTGTCCACTATAGTATCACAGTACAAATCCTGCTGACTGTACATTTGTGTACAGCAAACACAGCACTGGAGGAACTGCAACCAGTGGTGCACCTCTCCCAATTGTACACTCGTCCTATAAAAAGACACAAACTGCTCTAAAACAGAGTAAAATGCTGCATTCATACTCAAGTAAAAGCTGCAAAGTTTTCATTTGTACTCAAGGGACAGGCATGTGGATCTCCCTATACTCAAGGGACTGGTGTGCAGACAGTTTTCATATGCAGAGACTTGAGGGACTGGTGTGCAGGCAATTTGCATTTGCAGATACTCAAAGGACTGGCCTGAGGAGGTTTTCTATAATCAAGCAAAATGCTTGTTGATGGTCTGATACTCAAGGGGCCACTGTGCAGAGGCTTCCTATACCCAAGAGAACGGTTGTTATATTTGCAGAAACTCAAAAGACCAGTGTGTAGAGGCTTCCTATACTCAAGCAAAATCTCCCTTAATGCACTGATACTCAAGGGACCAGCATGTGGAGGCTTCCAATACTCAAGCAACTAGAGGGCAGAAAATTTGATACTCAAGCAAAATGCATGTTGACATGAAATTCAAGGCTGACTGGCATGCAGAGGCTTCCTGTACTCAAGCAAAGACCTGATCATTGATTTTCAAAGCTGTGATTGTTGCTACTTTTCTGAGCTGCAGTCCTGCATCAAGTTCTGACAGTCCTATTTTCTGAGCTGCAACTGTTGTCTACTGTTGCAGTTGATACTCAATAACCAACTTTTCATACTTGAAGTCAATCCATATCAAGCCATCACAAACCAATCTGGTGTCTGAAGGGTGTAGTGCCAAGCCAATATGTCTACTGACCAGCCAGCAATGGCAGGAGGAGAGCATCTTCATCATGGAGGTGATGATTTTCACCATAGAAGTGGGGTATGTCACCATAAGGGCAGCAATGGAAGTCAAAATCTACCTCATGAGGAGGTGCTTGATCTGCTGGATGACTTCATTAGACATGAGGAAATTGATGATGATCATTTTGTTCAAGAGATTGCTTCTTCATATGGGAGGTATTGTGTGAAGACAATTCCATGCACTATCCCAATTCGATCAGAGAATTCTTCTGCTACTCTACAAGGGAGATATAATCACAAAAGAGGAATCATTGGATTACTTGCATACAAAGAAGAGAGGGAAATGACAGCAATGCAGTGGGCTTGTTTATCATCATGGCTAAATGCCTAATGAATTTGCTAGCAGTACTACTAGTAGTGATGAAAGTGAAGTTGATTTCAACAAAGGTTGACCCACATGCTAAGAACTCCTTCTTGACCAACACCAATGGAGGTCGTATCCTAATCCACTACTATGATGAAACCAACTATATCATTGATCATTACAGGAAGGATTTTGAAAGACTTCTTCATACCCACAGCAGCTAGGTTCAAGTTGCTCCATTTGAATCAGGTCTCATGGTTTCTGTAGGCCAAAGATTTGACTATCCATCTTCCCGCCCAACAACATACTGAGGTATTCACCTGACCAAAACATTGGCTGATAGTTTGATGAAGTATCATTCCGTGAAGCTGAATGAAATCATGATGGACATTATTTACAAGATGAAGCCACTGCTCTAAGAGTTGAGGAGGCATCAGAAGTTCCATACAGGTGTCACTGTTAGTGCTAAAGCATCATCAGGAGAATCGAAGACACCAGTACTGCCATCACTTGCTATTGTAGATGATCTCACAAACAGCATACATGTTGCTGTGCAGGATGATACAAGGGAATTTGCTGTTTACTTCTCCAAGGGTCCAAAACAAGCTGGTCTGACCTGTTTTTTTGCCACACCATGAGCTTGCAATTCAATTAAACTGTGGGACTGTTCTGGAATCTAGTATCTTGCCTCATTGCAGTTGCAGTTTCTGCAAAGGGCTACTATATGGATCTGCCCCTAGATCCAACCAGCAGGTAAAAAAAAACAGAAGTTTATTACAGAATTTGCCTTCTCTACTGCCGGTTATAGCAAAGATACCCAACTTGGCCAAAAGGATCTAGTAAGAGCTACATTTGGTGAGGTTGAAAAGCTTGGAGTTAGCTGGAATTCAGGTGAAGATTGCTCAATTATAGCCAGGTTCAAGAAGAAACCTTACTGGCAGGCAAATGTGAAGGCAATTGATATGGAAAATAAGCAAGTGAGGGAATTATAGGATGGGAAGCTCAAGGCTCTGGAGGAGTATTGGGGGGGGGGGCACATTTCATGTGTGTCATTTTGAGTTCCTTACCTGTTGCGCCCTCACAACCACTCTATGGAGGAAGGCGCCCCACCTTGGAGCAGTTAGGAGCATCCTTCTTCCCAGAAGTTATGGTTCTGGCCCACATAGTGCATCCTCTAGTTCAARAGATAAAATATAATATCAAGAGTTCCTTAATTACATTGTCCTGAAAAACAAATGGAACTCAAAGAAAACCAAATCAAATTTGGTGAAGAGGCCCAAAAAATAACATCATTAGTACTAACAATAGTTCACATAATAGTAGTAGTAAAATTTCAAGTTACAGTAGCACTAATGGAAT